GTGAATGTTGGAAACAAGGAAAACATGAACATACTGATGTGGGCTCCAGCGAGCGGGGGCCACCCAGACTCGCGAAATGGACGGGCTGAGCCCTCTCTCCGCTGGGCCGCCCGTTGCGGTGCCTGGAGACAGCCGCCTGGCCGCGCACCCTCTACCCGCCTGGCCTAACAGGGGCTCGGAGGCACCACGGCTGGTTGGGAGACAGAAGTGTGGCCCGGCCCGTTCCAGGCCAACCTCCTCCAGAGGCCTTTCGGCCTTCGAAGTTCAGGCCTCGGTGCGCCTGGAACTTCTGACGTTCCCCCGAGTCCGCTCGCACAGCCGGGACTACGCAGAAAGCCCTTTTTTGTGAACAGAAGCACGTCGCTTGGGGCAGCGCTTCTGGAGTTTTCCCTGAGACCTCACTGCACTTCAGCTGAAGTGGAGGAAGTCGCCAGCCTCTCCGTCGTTTCAGCCCTGCTGCTTTATCCTTTGTATTGATTTTTCTTCCATTTGTACTGGGCAGCAGAAGAACACACAATCGTAGCAGCACGCCCTCCGCAGTCACACACACACCGTAAACAACCACAACCAGTCACATGCTTCACACGATCACACGCTCGAGTTCCAACGATACCACACACATGGCACACGCAATCACTCCAGCACCACATCAAGTCACATGCCTCACAGATCACGACCGCTCGAGTTACACATTATCAACACATGCCAGGTCACATCACATGACAGGTCACATGCCTCACACGATGCACGACACAGTCACACCACGGAAAAGTCACAATGCCTCACTGATTACATGCACACACAGTCATACACACCACACAGTCACCATGCCTCACACTAATCAGATGCTCGAGTTCCACTTACCACACACATGCACACGCAATCACACACACACACACAGTACATGCCTCACACGATCACACACTCGGAGTTCCACATACCCACACACATGCCACACCAATCACACACAACACACGTCACGCATGCCGTCACACGAGGTCACACGCGTCCAGAGGGAGCCCACATCAGTATGTTCATGTTTTCCTTGTTTCCAACATCACTGGTTGTGTTACTCACAGGCTATTTCTTTACTCAAAAAAAAAAAAAAAAACAAAAAAAAAAAAAAAAAAAAAACCAAAAAAAAAACAAAACAAAAACCAACAGAAAAACAAAAGAAAATATTTGAAATATTTGATTTAAGAAATATGTTATCATTCTTTTCTTACTTGATGCCCTGCGAACAGTCTTTAAATCGTCCCATTTTCTCTCCTAACCCTTGGAGACTGTGAATGTGGCCTCCAGTTGGAAACTGAGTCTGGGGATCTGGATGTGAGGTGGTCCTCGGTTTAGAGGGGCCCCAAATCCAGCGATGGATGCCCAAGAGCAAGGAGAGGGAGATTCGAGGCAGAGGCAAAGGGGAGGCCGGTCAGAGTGCTGCAGCAACAGCCCAGGACACCTGGAGTCCTGGAGGCCGGAAGAGGCGGGACGGGTGCCCCCCGACCTCGGAGCGGGGACACTCTGCCCACAGCTTGACGTTGGACTCTGGTCTCCAGAACGTGAGCCCAACACGAATGTGGAGACTGGCTTCTTGTGGATCAAGTGACCCAACAAAACTGTGACAGGGTGGGAGGGGGACAGTGCAGGGGGAGGCTGTGGGGTGTGCAGGGGAGGGGGTGCGGAGCATTTACCTTCCTCTTTGATGCAGCCGGGACCCTCTACTGGGACACAGTTTGGGGTCCCCACAGCTGGTCCTCCTAGGTGGCCCCCAGGCCTGGCGCCGGCTGAGTGGTGGGAGGTGTGGCAGGCTGCAGCCTGGGCCCCTCCGGAGCTTCTGGGCGCCCTTTCCCGGGACCGAGACCTCCTGGGAAGGGTCCGCCCCGCGGATCCTGGACCTGCCCGGCTGGGCGTGTGCCTCTCCTTCTCTAGACTCGGGGTCTGCTGGGGGTCTCCCCAGGGACCAGAGGTTTCCTCCTGAGTCCCACTGGCTGCTGTCCCAGTCCCCGGGTCCCTGCTGGCTCCAGCCAGGGAGCTGCAGGCCGGGCCCCCGAGGGCCTCCTCAGAGCTGCCCAGGGGCATGGGGTTCCGCAGGGCCTCCATGTACGACTCCCTGAACCAACGTCTAGGCGGCACACAACTGGAGTCCCCTGGCGGCCGCCTCCTGCTGCTCGGGATGTCCAGGTCTGTGTGGAAGGTGAGGCTCTTGGGGCCCTCCTCCTGGTCCGGCTTCTGCTCCAATCCCCCGCAGTTCTCAGGGGGCATCCGTGGGCCCTGCTCTGAGGGGCTGACCTTTTCGAAGTCCCTGTCTGAGCTTCCAGACAGGGTCCGGGGCCTTCCCAGCTCGGCTCTTTCTGGGTAAGGAAGGTGCCTGAGCTGGTCGCTGCCCACACGCCCTCGGCGGCAGGGTGGGGTCAGGGTGTCGGGGGAAGGGGTGCTTCCCTGGAAATGGGGGCCTGCCATGGCTTGGGTGGGGGCTGGGGCCTCTGAGGGGCTGCTGGGCAGCTGCTCGGGACCTGTGCAGCTGGAGCAGCTCTGCAGGATGGCTCCAGGGCTGGGGACAAAGACAGGGTTAGTGATGTCGCTCCACGGGGCTCGGTGGACAGCCAAGCCTGAGGTCAGCAGGCAGGTGCGCAGGGGAACGTGGCTCCGTTCCTGGTTCACCCACTCCAGGAATGCCCCCGTGAAGACACAGCCATACATGGCCTCAGGGATGGTGACTTCCTCTACGCCCCTTCCCAGCCGGGACAGGCATTTCAAGACCAGTCTAGCTGACTGCTTCCCCGCCGACGTGACCTGCAGGTAGAAGTCCCCGGGCTGGAGCCGGACTCCGTGCAGGGACGCCAGCTGCACCACCACCTTCTCATGGGCACACAGCGGCCAACCTGGGTGCAGGAAGACCAGACCCCTGTACCTGGCCTGAGACAAGAGAGAAAGGAGGTTAGTGGTGGGCACGGCCATGGCCTGGGCTCCTCCGTGCCCTGGGTCTCCACCTCTCAGGGGAAGGTCAGTGACTGAGCTCCCACAGGGAAGGCGTCTCACGGGGACTGGGATGCACTGTCCCTTGGAACATAAAACAGGTCATTAGGACTAGAAAAATCATGGGCTTCTCTTTGGTTCAGGGGTCAGTTATAAAAACAATCGTATAGTTCTACCTGGAGGCTGGGGGTAGGTGGGCAGGACAGGGGAGAGGAGGCTGCTCGAGGGTCACAGCCAGAGCCCACCAGGCGCTCCGAAGGGTGAGTTGTCGCTCAGAGTGGTTCCAGCCTGGGCAAGGGGCCGGGCGTCCACACTTGCCCCTGCCAGCCCTGGTCAGGACCACCCTAAGGGGGGCTCCCTTCTCTGCACTTCCGGTGTTCCCTGCGGCTCCCGGCCGCTGCGGGCGCTACCTCGGCCTCCTCAGCGAGGAGTGCAGGTGCCAGGATGCTGGTGAATTTCACTTCAGAATTTTCTCCGTTCCCTTTAAATAGCTGAGATCCCACTCCATTTACAACTGTGTACTTTAGCTATTTTCACCCAGCGTGATTTCACGAGCATTTCCTGTGCTGTTAGAAACTGCAGACAGATCACGTAACTGTTGGGTATTTATTTTCCCCAAATTTTGCTCTGACAAACTAAAATACAGTAAACATCTTGGGGCCTAGAGCCCCGCCTGGGTTTCAGTTGCTTCTAGAGAAGGGCCCTACTTCATTCTTTTGCATGTGGATATCCAGTTTTCCAAGCACCACTGATTGAAAAGACTCTCTTCCCCAGTGAATAGTCTTGGCACCCCTGTAGAACATCACTTAGCCATATATGTGAGGGTTTATTACTGGGCTCTCTATTCCATTCCACTGGTCTTTGTGTCTGTTTTTATGCCAGTGTCACACTGCTCTGATTACTGTAGTTTTGTACTAAGTTTTAAAATCAGGAAGTGTGAGTCCTCCAACTTTTCTTTTTTTCAAGATTGTTTTGGCTCTCTGGGGGTCTCCTGAGATTCCACATGAGTTTTAAGATGGGCTTTTCTATTTCTGCAAAAAACACCACTGGGACTTTAATAGGATTGCACTGAATCTGTAGATCACTTTGGATAGTACTGACTTATTACTGTGACTATAGTATTATTAATTCTATTTTTTTTTTTTTTTTTTTTTTTTTGAGACAGAGTCTCGCTTTGTCACCCAGGGCTGGAGTGCAGTGGCGTGATCTCCAGCTCACTGCAAGCTCCGCCTCCGGGTTTCACCATTCTCCTGCCTCAGCCTCCCAGTAGCTGGGACTACAGGCGACTCTGCCACCCGCCCAACTATTTTTTTGTTATTTTCGTAGGAGATGGGTTTCACTGTGTTACAGGATGGGGTTATCTCCTGACCTGGTGATCCACCCGCCTCGGCCTCCCAAAGTGCTGGGATTACAGGCTTGAGCCACTGCACCCAGTCTATTTTACAATATTAAGTCTTCCAATTCATGAACATGGGATGTGTTTAAAATTATTTACATCTTCTTTAATTTCTTTCAGCAATGTTTTGTAGTGACTTATGTAAAAGTCTTTTACTTTTTTAGTTAAATTTATTCCTAGGTATTTCATTCTTTTTAATACTATTATAAATGAATTTTTTTTTTTTTTGAGGTGGAGCCTTGCTCTATTGCCCAGGCTGGAGTACAGTGGCGCGATCTCAGCTCACTGCAAGCTCTGCCTCCCGGGTTCACACCATTCTCCTGCCTCAGCCTCCCTAGTAGCTGGGACTACAGGCGCCCGTCACCATGCCCGGCTAATTTTTTGTATTTTTAGTAGACATGGGGTTTCACCATGTTAGCCAGGATGGTCTCAATCTCCTGACCTGGTTATCCGCCTGCCTCAGCCTCCCAAAGTGCTGGGATTACAGGCGTGAGCCACCGCGTCCGGCCTGAAATTGTTTTCTTAATCTTTGGATTGCTCATTGTAAGTGTATAGAAACACAACTGATTTTTGTGTGTTGATTTTGTATCCTCAAACTTTGATGAATTACTATTTCTAACAGGTTTTTCTTTTCTATTTCTTTTTTCTTTTTTTCTGAGACAGAGTCTCACTCTGTTCCCCAGGCTGCAGTGCAGTGGCACGGTCTCAGCTCACTGCAACCTCCGCCTCCCAAGTTCAAGTGATTCTCATCCCTTAGCCATCCGAGGAGCTGGGACTACAGGCACACGCCACCGTACCCAGCTAATTTTTGTATTTTTAGTAGAGAGGAGGTTTCACCATGTTGGCTAGGATGGTCTTGAACTCCTGACCTCAAGTGATCCACCTGCCTCAGCCTCCCAAAGTGCTGGATCACAGGCATGACCCACTGTGCCTGGACTTCATTTTTTTTTTATTTCAATAAGTGTTCCGGAGAACAGGTGGTGGTTGGTTACATGAATAAGTTCTTTAGTGGTGATTTCTGAGATTTTGGTGCACCCATCACAGTGGAGAGTGCACCCAATGTGCAGTCTTTTATCCCTCACCCACCTCCCACCCTTTCCCACGACTCCCCAAAGTCCATTGTATTATTCTTATGCCTTTGCATTCTCATAGCTTAGCTGCCACTTATGAGTGAGAACATACAATGTCTGGTTTTCCAGTCTTGGTTATTTCACTTAGAATAATGGTCTCCACTTCCATCCAGGTTGCTGCAAATGCCATTATTTTGTTCCTTTTTATGGCTGAGTAGTATTCCATCATATATAAATATATATATATTCTATTATATATATTCTATCATATATATATTCCATCTCATATATATTCCATCATATATATATCTATATCTATACATATAGGTATATATCTCTCACATTTTATCCACTCATTGATTGGTGGGCATTTGAGCTGGTTTCATATTTTTGCAGTTGCAAATTGTGCTGCTATAAACATGTGTGTGCAAGTGTTTTTTTTTGTATAACGACTTCTTTTCCTCTGGGTAGATACCCAAAAGTGGGATTTGCTGGATTAAATGGTAGATCTACTTTTAGTTCTTTAAGGAATCTCCACACTGTTTTCTATAGTGGTTTTATTAGTTTACATTCCCAACAACTGTAAAACTGTTCCCTCTTTACCACATCCATGCCAATATCTATTATTTTTTCATTATGGCCATTCTTGCATGAGTAAGATGGTATCACATTGTGGTTTTGATTTGCATTTCCCTGATAATAAGTGATGTTGAACATTTTTCATATATTTGTTGGTCATCTGTATATCTTCTTTTGAGAACTGTCTGTTTAGATCCTTAGCCCATTTTTTAATGGGATTGTTTATTTTTTTTTTCTTGCTGATTTGTTTGCATTTCTTGTAGAGTCTGGATATTAGTCAGACAAGAGAAAAAAATAAAGGGCATCCAAATCAGTACAGAGGAAGTCAAACTGTTGTTTTTGGTTGATGATATGGTCATATACCTAGAAAACTCTAAAGATTCATCCAAAAAGCTCCGTGAACTGGCAAATGAATTCAGCAAAGTTTCAGGACACAAAATTAATGTATGCAAATCAGTAGCTCTACTATACACTAACAATGACAAAGCTGAGAATCAAATTAAGAACTCAACACCTTTTATAATAGCTGCAAAAAATTAAAATACTAGGAATATACCTAACCAAGGAGGTGAAAGACCTCTACAAGGAAAACTACAAAACACCGCTGAAAGAAATCATGGATGACACAAACAAATGGAAACACATCCCATGTTCACGAATGGGTAGAATCAACACTGTGAAATGACCAAACTGCCAAAAGCAATTTACAAATTCAATGCAATTACCATTAAAATACCACCATCATTACTGACAGAATGAGAAAAAACAATCCTAAATTCATATGGAACCAAAAAAGACCCCACACAGCCAAAGCAAGACTAAGCAAAAAGAACAAATCTGGAGGCATCACGTCGCCCAACTTCAAACCATACTATGAGGCCAGAGTCACCAAAACAGCGTGGGACTGGTATAAAAATAGGTGTACAGACCAATGGAACAGAATAGAGAACCCAGAAATAAACCCAAATACAGCCAACTGATCTTCCTCAAAGCAAACAAAAACAGAAAGTGGGGAAAGAACACCCTGTTCAACAGATGGTGCTGGGATAATTGGCAGCCACATGTAGAAGATTAAAACTGGATCCTCATCTCTCAACTTATACAAAAATCAATTGAAGATGGATGAAAGACTTAAATCTAAGACCAGAAACCATAAACATTCTAAAAGATAATATCAGAAAAACCCTTCCAGACATTGGCTTAGGTAAAAACTTCATGACCAAGACCCCAAAAGCAAATGCAACAAAAACAAAGATAAACAGATGGGACTTTATTAAAGTACAAAACTTCTGCACAACAAAAGAAATAATCAGCAAACAGATGACCCACAAAATGGGAGAAAATCTTCGCAATCTATATATCCAACGAAGAACTAATAGCCAAACTTTTTATAAAATCTTTAGGGTTTTCCACATATAAGATCATGTCATCTACAAACAGATAATTTTACTTCTTAATTTCCAGTTTGGATGCCTTTTACTTTTTTTTTTTTCCTTGCCTAGCTACTCTGGGAAGAACCTCAAATACCATGTTGAATAGAAGCGGTGAAAGTGCGTATCCTTGTTCCTGATATCAGTGGAAAAGCGTTCAGTCTCCCACCACTGAGGACAATATTCATTGTGGGTTTTATACATATGGCTTTTATTATGTTGAGATAGTTTCCTTTTATTCCTAGAGTATTTTGTTTTTATCATGAAAGGGTGTTGAATTTTGTCGAATGCTTTTTCTGTATCAATTGAGATGATCAGAAGAAGCTTCTTCCATTTATGCAGCCAACAGAAACATGAAAAAATGCTCATCATCACTGGTCATCACAGAAATGCAAATTAAAACCACATTGAGATACCATCTCATGCCAGTTAGAATGGCGAACATTAAAAAGTCAGGAAACGACA